TATGAGAGAGAAGATAGATGCTTGGATAAACATTTTATTTGTAAGGAAACAGTGGTGTCTATATTAATTAGCAAGTATGGAAAACTGTCTCATAGTTTCTAGGTTGGGACTGCCCTAAGTGTGTAAATTGTTGTGTTGGTTTTATTATGACAGTATCAGCCTTCAAACTTGAGAGAAGTTTCTATAGTAAATACGTCACCTTTAAATTATCTCTACAAACTACACATCCTATTGCATCCGTTTCTTAACGTGCGACTGTAATAAGTTAGATGTTTCTCCCTTCATCTGCATTCCATCCCCCCCTTTCTCTCTCATCCATTCTTTCTCCATCCTCTATCTTATCCGAAACGATGGGTGAGGCCGGAAGATGGACGATGGCACAATGGTAGGGGTGCGGCCGGCGGGCTGGCATGGGGTGGCGCATGGGTGCCGCTGCTTGTGGCTAGACGAGGCCCCACCGGCATGGGCGGTGTAGGGTGTAACTAGCTAGGCGAGTGGAGCTACAACCAGGTGAGGGCATGATGGTGCCGGTGATGTGGGGTGCAGCCAGTGGTACGTTTGTCGAGTTGTGGCCGAACAAGGGCATGGGCAGCGTGGGGTTCGATTGGCGAGGCGGGCATGGGCGTGCATTGATGGGGTCTGCCAGCGTGTAGGGCAACCCGGGCTTGGCTTATAAGCCATACATTTTCAGTCAACGAACAATATTTTTCTCTCACAACAAATCAGCCAACAGTACTTTCAGCCATGGCTTATCAGGCAAGCGAACAGGTCACATACGGTGCGGTGAAGGCGTGGCCAGCTGTGCATGGTGGCAGAGGTGTGGCCAAGTGTGCAGGGTGGTAGAGGCATGGCTACCGACCGCAGAGAGCGTGTGTATGTAGTAGGTGGACCCCACAAGAGGAAATCACATCTCGCCCCCAACACAAAATTGTCGATTGCTTGCTACCTTGGAGCTCGAGTCGACATTTGATACGAGAACAATTTCCTATAATTTTCCTTAAGGCATGTTAGGCCTAGTGGTGGACCTCTAAACATTAGAAGTACAAAGTTCCACACATGCCATTGCAAGACGTTTTTTGTTTACTTTCCCTAAGACATGTTAGGATTAGTGGTGGGACTAGTTATCTTAGCTACCTACAGTTCCACACATGCCATTTAGTATTGTAGGTTCGGTCCACGAAGCGTGCTAGGTTAATATTAGAATTTGTTTGTTCCTTTAAAAGTTTGTAAGGTTCCTTAAGTTATTGCGGGTGATGTATGTTTATAGGTCCAGAAAAGGAGTGCAAGTGTCTTTAATGTTGCTCGAAAAGTGCTAAAGTTTGTTTTATGACCGGTAATAGCTGTGTTCGGAAAAGGGGGGCACATCGGGTGATGGTTATGTGCAGGGTAGGACAGATACAACATGGAATAATGCAATCGGCCGCGGAGGAGCCGACAGGCCTATCGGCTGCTCGACAGGTATACTATATACCATTGGCGCCGACAAGCCATCCTAGCGGCCGTTGGCTCCCACGTCCGGCCTTGTAGGCCTATCGGCGCCTGAGCTGCAGACATGGGTTCAAAAATATTATTTTAAAAAAAATCGCCTTTGTTTCCGCGAGTATACTGTATACTATTGGCGCTGACAAGCCATCCTGGCGGCCGGCGGCTCCGACGTCCGGCCACGTAGGCCTCTCGGCCGCTGAGATGCCGATAGGGTTTCAAAAATATTATTTTTAAAAAATCGACTTTGTTTCCGCGTGCCTGAACTCTAGCCACTTCGTACTTGAGGAACATCTACGTTATCTGTACTAACAAAAACGTAAATGAACCACCTCTGTCATAGTGAAAGAAATGGCTTAGTGGTATGTCTTAAATTTACTGAGGCTTGATCCCAACCTAAGACAGTTTTTGCTGTTTTCATTCTTTTTGGTAAACCAGGAATTAAATGTCAAAAGGCTCAAATAATCCAAAAATACACAAAAGCATAATTGGCATCGTGGTAGTGCATCCTTTTCTCATTGGTGAGGTTCTAGGTTCATTCCTGTTCTGCCTCAATTTGTTTTTGCTATTTTCGTTCTATTTAGAGAAACCTGTAGTAGTGGTAAGGCAAACTCGTTTAATTAGTGATAGTGAGGTTTTCTGTTCAATCCTATTTTGCTCCATATTTTTTGCTATTTTCATGCAGTTTAGAGAAACCCAAATAAAAAGGTCATTCTATTTAGAGAAACTCTAATAAAAAGGTGGAATTACCAAACTTAATAATTAACATAAAGACGCGAGTGGCTCTCTTCTCATTTGCTTGGACCTAGGTTCAATTCCGACTAGCAACATTTTATTTTCTTTGTTATTTGTGTGTGATAATGTAATAAAACTAAAACGTAAACAAATGCACTACAATATCTAGATTCGAACCACTTGTTGGAATATTTTTTTCAATTCCATTCTGGCTTAATTTTTGCTTCTTTCTTGCAATATTTCTTAATTCCATGTTGGCTTAATTTTTGCTTCTTTCTTTTCTTAAAAAGAAGCATCACTTGGATGCATTTTTTTCCTGATAGCTCATTTTTTTTAAAAAAAAATCATAACTTTGGTATATGAACTTGATATCAATCTGTGATTTCTTCTCGAGTCATAGACAACTAAGGGAGGTGACAAATGATTCAGATCGTCACAGAGTGTGGAGTTGTGGCCAGATGAGGGCGTGGGTGGCGTGGGGTTTGATCGGCGAGGCGGGCGCAGGCGTGTACCGATGGGCGTCCGACAGCGTGTAGGGCAACCCGGCCAGCTGTGTGGGGGTGGCAGAGGTGCGGCTCGGTGAGCACGGTGGCAGAGGCATGGTTGCGGACCCTAGAGAGCGCGTGTAGCAGGTGGGACCCACATGAGGAAATCACATCTCACCCCAACGTAAAACCATCATTTTTTTCTGCCTGCAATGCCTTATCAAAATTTGAAATTAAAGACTTGTCGGGGTTATAACCCCGGGTGTCTCAAGGCACCGATTAGTTGGCAGGCCACACGACCCACAACTCCCTAGCTAGCGAAGGCCCAAACAACTTAAGACCAGTTAGATGAGAAATCCAGGCTGACGAAAGGGCAGGGGACGGTCACGATCCCTCTCCCCGCCTTAGCCACACGGCGCCCGAGAAATGCGCGACCTCTCCCCGCCATGACCCCTGAGGGGATGGGGAGAGGTCAAGCCCAGCCTGACGCACCTACTCTGACAAGAGTGACCTTACCGCACTGACCCCTTAAGGACAGAGGGGACAACAATCACCTCGGCCCGATCAGATGCCAACCCCGTGCCACGTCGCACGGACGGGACAACACCGCATAGCAGAGGAAACGGGTACGAAACCCACCGTCCAGATATGGACCGACAAAAAGTATGTACGATCCTACCCACTATGGGATGGGATCTACAACAAGGGCCTAACCAAAGAGGCCGTCCAGACCAGCTAAAAACCCCGACCCCGACGATCAGGATCGTGGCCCTCAGCCCTGTGAAACAACCAGGCGATCGATGACCCGGGGTGGCTACCAACTCCCGTGTGATGTCCCGGGAAACCAGGAGATGGTAACGAAGGTCATGACGGATACCGCATTGCGCAGGATGGCTAACGAACCATCACCGTGTCTACATTGCCACCACGGCCAGCACAATAGCACCACATCACACCCTGCCGCGGTGTGGCCACAAGACCATGACGACAGCCACGCCCAGATGAGCACCAAAAGCAGGCATAGCTTGCAAGCCAAGTTAGCTAGGACCTCTCTCAGGCTCACAACCCTTCGGTCGAGGGACCTCCTCTTTTGTATCAGCCCTGGCCCCGAACTCTATATAAGGACCAACCGGGAAACGCATTCGGGACATCCTCTACCATTCCATTCATTCACCATAGTACAAGGGCTCCTGAAGCTTCCTTCCGGGCAGCCCCTCGCCTAGCATAGGTTCTACCACCTCTCTCACCATTTCTTGCACCCCTCATTGTAAGAATTTCAAAGCATTCATGCGAGGAACACGCACTCGATCATCTCTGAGACTGGACGTAGGACTCCTACCTGAACTAGTATAAATCCTCGTATCTTTTGGATGCTACCATCGTCTTCCTAGAGCAGCGCGGCAATCGTATAAATTTACTAGTCCGATTTACAAAATACCGACAGTTGGTGTGCCAGGTAGGGGACAGTCGCACACTCTCGATTGTTGAGAGGGAAAGCGGTGGCTCCTTGCATTATCGGTGAACTCGCTGATGGAATGGCCCGCGGCGGCCACATCCGCCGTGAGAACTACGGGTTTACCGGCATCAAATATTTTGGTTGCTTTTCCTACACAAACAATCAACAATCCAGTTGCCATGGGGTCCAGAGTTCCAGCATGTCCAACCTGAGACCACACAAATATTGCAAAACATATACTTAATGCTAAGGGCAAATGCTACATTCAGACACAGTGAAAAACCCTGATATCACCTTTTGTACTTTAACCAAGCGCCCCAACTTGCCACAAACAGTAAATGAAGTCCATCCTATGATTAGAGGAAAGACGAGTTTAGATGAATTGTTCAGGATGGAAGGCAACAGAGCAAATTAATAAAACACCGCTCGAACCTAATCCTGTCTGCGCATTAACTTATTATTATCTGCCCTGATAGGAAACACAATACAGAACCCTGTCTTGAGGCAAAGCTGCAGTGGCCACACCGACTAATTGCCATGTAATTGTTGCGCAAATCGCTCACATTTTAGAAAAGGATTTTCCCGGTGGTGCATGTGCATCAGATAAAATTACCTAAAATACTATTGTTGTCTTAGATGATACATTTTGGTGAGAATCCCAGAACCTGCAATACACCAAAGTGGAGGGGAAAGGCATCACCTTTGGGTGAGAATCCCAGAACCTGCAATGCACCGAAGGGGAGGGGAAAGGCATCACCTTTGGGCTTGTCAATGAGCACGACGGTCTCGGCCGGGCCATCCCACCTGGGTGGTAGCTCCATGGTCCTAGTGACGAGGTACGGCTATAGACGCTCCTCCTCCCTTGGCACCTCGCGCTTCACCTGCCGTGGCTCCGCTCCCGATCTCTTGAACTTGGTGTCGGCTTGGCCGGGGCCTTTATTCAGAGACCTAAAGAAGTCTTCCACCTTCCTCTCCAGCACCTCCCCTTTGTCGTTGCTGTCGCCGCCCTTCTTACTGACCACCCGCTCCCCTCCCTCATCTTCCTTCTTCTCGGCGTCGAAGAAGACGAGGCTGCTGTCGGCGTCGGAGGCCGGGGCGGCTTCAGCGAAGACGAATGCGTTGTCGAGGGACTGATGGGGGAAGTACTTCTTCTGCAGGCGGTAGAGCATGCAGTAGTGCTTGTCCTTCTCCCATGGCATGGCGAAGGTGTCATGGAAGTAGAGCGCCTCCTCGCGCCAGTGCAGGCGTGGGAAGTCCACCACCTCTGGCCGGAGCTCGACGAACTCCAACGAGGAGGAGGAGGGATTGTTGGTGGTCGTAGTGGATAGGGTAGGGAGTCACCGTGAGCGAGAGGAAGCGGCGCGGGAGGCAGAGTAGCGGTGATGGGGAGGAGGATGAGGAGGGCAGCAGCGTCGCCCTCACCGCCGCCGCCATGGCTCCCGCTCGAGGAGGCATTCATGTCCCCGTGGTGCGCGGGCCGCTCGCTATCGGTAGGGGAAGGGAGAGCCGAGTCATGCGGCAGCCCCGCCATTGGATCTGCAGCAGACGGTGAAGATGGAGAGCATAGCATCATCGATGTCCATGAGGACTTGCAGGTACGAAAATGGATGATGACAATTAAAAATGCAACGAACTATCATGGTTTATAATTATAATATAATGAAAATAACACTGATTTTTAATAGGAGTGTTTAAATCAGAAATCAGAGAATAAATAAAATTACGGTAATGCTATTATTAAGACATCCAGAAGACCTCCGCTCCACTAACTGTCACATGCGCCACTCGCCTAAAAAACAAAATCAACTCCCGCGCGCCTCGCTCCGCTCCCGTCATTACCCCTTCCGTGCTCCTCATCCCTACCGCAGCGAACCAACGCCCGGCGTCCTTCCCCATCGGGAGCCTCCAACGGTCGCAGATCCGACAACCCTCTCCCCCACCTCGGCGAGATATATGGAGCAGGAACGAGATCCACTCGCCTCTGGCAAGATCCATGGAGGTGAGGCGGCAGTGTTGTAGGGGAGTGGGTGACTATCCTCCACCCTGTGCGGTGCCCTCTACACCCCCAACAGCCATGGTGCTCCTCGCCCCCATCCCCTATCGTCTGCACCGAGCCAAACCCGATACTAGTGGCGCTGGTGCTCATGCGCCGCCGCTCACCGCCAGCTCCGACCCGGACGGCTAGAATCGACTGGTCCAGGCTTCCCCACCCCGATGCTGCAAATATATGTTTCTGGTGTTTCAGTCATTTCAAAGGTATGTTGTAGTTGTTTCTTATGGATGTATCCTGATCTATCCGGACTGAGCGAGGTCGACCGAGCGGCGGAGTCGGCGTGGCTCAGGGAGTGAGCGTGGGACGAGACGGTGAAGCGAGGCAATGCCAACGAGGAGCTACTACGCTTGGGGCGGGAGTATGTCCGGCTCACCTCTGTGATGAGGACTCCGGATTTCTCCAGCATGATCGAGGCCAAATGAGCAGCAGAGGCAGAGAGGCTTTGGGAGAAAGCGCTGGAGAAGGCCCATCGTCTCCAGGAGGTGGGGGACCCCGAAGGTCGGTGGCGGGAAGCGGAGGCTCACATCCTCCACTTCGATCCCAAGCAGAAGGGCATCTACTACAACCGGCTCTGCTTCATCAACGTTGCAAGTTTCGACGTCGACGAGGAGTGTAAGTCGCCCAGGATTATTCTTCCGTCAACCTTTTTTTGCTTGATTATATTACATGATTGTGTTTGCACTTTCATCTAGTTTTGCTAGACTATTATTTATTGTGAGCAAGAATTCAAGCTACCTTGTTTAATTGAGGTTTTTCGTTTGCTACATCGCCCCATGGTCGGATGAGATTTACTGATGATGATGCATTCAAAATGACCAAGCCACACATGCTATGCGGGGGAGTGTCGGATACCTATACCTGGGTATCCGAGCCAAAGGATTAAGGATCGTCACGTCACCTCATTCGATGGTTAAGGACGCAACTAAGGCCTCATTTGATCCCCAGGGGCCGAGCCACGTCTCATCCAACTCTGAGGACGAGGATTCCGCCTCGTTCGACCCCTAGGGGCCAGGCCACTCCTCGTCCAAGTCCAAGGATGAGGTTTCCGTCTCGTCCAACCCCAAGGCATGGGCTCCAACTCTGAGGATGAGGTTTCTGCCTCGTCTGACCCCTAGGCGTGGGCTCCGACTCGTCCGGTCCCACGGGGAGGGCTCACTTCATCCAAGGATGAGATTTCTGCCTCACCCGTTCCCTAGGGGTCGGATTTGCTACCGGACAAAAGTAGTGGCCCTAGGGTGGGACCCGAACCGCTTCAACCACTATGGCATGGAGGCGCACGCCCAGAAGCACGTCTCGGACGCATCCTGATGCGACTGGCGATCGCATCAGGCCATGCTAGGAGACTCATATCGCCCACCGTGTCAATAGGCTGGCACTGTGCTACCAACTCCCTGCCTGACCACCATACAACATCAGTCAACCAGCGTCAGTTGACAGGCACTGTACCGCCAACCCCCCGTATGGCCTCTGTCTAGGGACCCTTTGACCATTCCGTCCGCTCGGATGGGATGGAAGACAAGAACGACGCACAATGCCCGCACGTATACTGTAGCGGCCAACAGGACCCAATACGACATTGCTGCCACCACGATCTATAGGGTCAGCAGGACCCGCGTGAAGAAGAGGACGGCAGGGCATCCCTTCCATTCCGTGAGCTTTATTTCTCTTTCTTTTTTCCCTCTTCCCTTCCGTTGTAACCCCTGCTTTCCCTTGCCCTATAAAAGGGAAAGCAGGGCATCCCACCAAGGGGCATCGCACATCACACCGCGAGAGATCAATCGACTGATAGATCTAGCAGTAGAAGCATCGAGCAGTCGAACCACAGAGACTTGGGAGCTCCTCCCTCTCTCGCCAGTTTGTAACCCCCTACTACAAACTCAATTCTAGTAACACGAGCACCTTGAAACTGGACGTATCGACATTCGGCCCGAACCAGTATAATCCTTGTGTCCTCTTAGCACACCATCTGGGTCAGACGCGCAATAATATAAATTTACTAGTCGGTTACTTGAAACACCGACAGTTGGCGCACCAGGTAGGGGCCTTTTGCGAGATGTGACATCAACACCAGGCCTTGGATGGCTAATCACAATGTTAGCTGGGTCCCAGGCATGTGCGTGCATTTTGGTAACCTGGACTTCGTCATCACGATGGAGGGAGAGTTGGTGCGGCCTTCCGCTGCCACACAACCCCTCCTCTTCATCGGCCTCGACGCAATCGCCGAGGCGCCCATGGAGCTGTAGCTACCTACATCGGAGGTCCGCGCCCCCAGAAGCAACCAGCTCCTCAGCTTCGACTACGGAAGGCCTCGCACCGTGATTTCAGTGCACGAGCATCTTGAGCTCCATCGCGACGCACGTGACACCCTTGATGCTCGCAGACGTGAAGTGCCCTCAGAACAATCTGATGAGGATGTACCGGTTCAACAGGCCCAACAGGACGGCGGGCCGTGCACTGCGATTCTGGTGCATGAGCGTCTCAGCCTCCACCGTGATGCTCGCGACACCCTCGATGCCCGTAGGTGTGGCTACGGTGATGTGAAGGAGGGGCTAGCCATGGCTACCATCCACGCTGTGGTAGACATTATGATAGCGGTGAGGACCGAAGCCTGAGCCCTGACTTGATGGGACCTCAGGCCATTGGCTGACACACCCTCAAGGGCAAGGCAAAATGGGACGAGGACGCCGACGAAGGTACCTCCAAGCCTCCCAACAGAAGGAAGAACAAGCGGCGGCGTAGGAGCTCGCTAGTGGCCAACGCCGACCGCACGGGGGGCCAGAAGCCCACGGAGGACACCTTGGACCACTTTAAGAAGTTGCTTGAAGGGCCATGCCCGAACCATGCTTTCCCCGTCAAGCACCTATACAAAGACTGCGTTCTTTTGAAGCGGTTCTTGTCAGGAAGCTCTAATAAGGGGGCATAGGATGGAGCCCAGCTAGATGAAGCGTGTGACGTCGCCCTCCTTTGCTCAGCCAAGTATCAGCGAGCGTTGCTTTGGTACCACAGCCGTCGAGTGTGGGGTCGGGCCTTCAATGTCGAGGACCTGGTGCTTCGCCTCGTCTAGAGCAGCAAGGACCGCCACAAGCTTTCCCCACTATAGGGGGGGACTGTACGTCGTCACGAAGATGCTCCTGTCAGGCACCTATGAGCTCAAGACTGATGACGGCAAAGCCATAGCCAACGCCTAGAACATCGAGCAGCTATGTTGCTTTTACCCTTAGTCTTCCCATTCCAAAGCTTCCAATATGCTTATCAAACTAAGTAATGTTTCTACAAAATCCAAAAAATGTTACCTCCTATCGGATTCACTTCTGATCTGATCGGTCTTCAAAAACACCCGACCCTAGCAACTACCTTGGGTCGGGTTTTACTCGAGGGCTGATAGGAGTACATATACTCAGAAACATTTTCCCATCCGACCCTTCCTTTTTATGATAAGACTTAGAAATAAGAGTTGCCGAAAACTAACGATGAGTAAAGCTGGTTGGAATGCAAAAAGCCTACGCCCCGATGGCTACGGCATCGCTTGCTCACCAGCGTGATCATTACTTAGTCACTCGCAACTTAAGTTTCTAATGTCTTAACATAAAACAAGGGGCGGATCGCAATAAACTTTATACATTTTCCCATCCGACCTTTCCTTTTTATGACAAGACCTAGAAATAAGACTTGCCGAAAACTAATGATGAGTAAAACTGGTTCGAATGCAAAAAGCCTATGCCCTGCAGCTATGGCATCACTTGCTCACCAGTGTGATCATTACTTAGTCGCTGGCAACTTAAGTTTCTAATGCCTTAAAATAAAACAAGGGTCGGATCGCAATGAACTTTATATATATTTATATATATATATATAGAAAGGCCAAACAACGTTTCTGGCCATAATAAAAGTCTTTACAAAAAGACCGACGTCGGACTTAGCTATCTAGCTAAACATTCTTGGGCAGGATTTCTTCTCCGACCTTCTCCGCCAGGTCCTGCGCCGGGAGAGCCGCTTCCTTCTCAATTTTGTCTAGCTCGGCGTCAGTGTAGCCAGGTGCGAAGCCCTCACTGATCACCAGCAGGTCAATGTTAATGTAGTGGGAGCGGGCAATGGCGAACGCGCGATGGACATCGGTGTACAGGGCCGCCCTTGTGAGTGCGCGCGCCCGATCTAGGATCTGGGTAACCCAGACTACGAGCGAGCTCATCTCCATGGCCAGGGCAACCCCGAGGTCGTTGTTGACCAACCCGACAATAGTGCGCAAGGCGTCGTGGTCATCGCTCTTCGACTAGAGTTGACCCCACACCTCGGAGAGTTGCCTCTGTAGGGCTGCCCAAGCCAAACATCAAAGAGCATCAAAAAACCGACTGCAAACGTCAAGCAAAAAAGTAACCAGAAC